AATATTACTGAGTTATAATTGAGAAATAGTACGATATACAAGATATTTTCGATTGCGTATTTTTTTTTTGTAATCATCTCAACAGAAAAAAAAAATTGAGAATATATTTCAAATGATTTCTTAGAACTTATATTAAACAATTTAGACTTTTTCAAGAATAAATTATCTTTTAAACAAAATAAAAGTCATACACACATTTTTTTTTATGAAAATACTAAAATTAATGCTTTTTGAATAACATTGTTGTCGAACTTTCTTACAAAAAAGACGCATCTTCTGACACTCTACAAAACTATATAAAGTTTATTGTTGTCTCTCTCAAAATTAACTACATAATAGAAGCAAGAAAAGTAAAACAAATTTAAAAATAGTTGATGTCATCCATTATAATGGATTTTATCGGTTTACCAGGTACGTCCTGGAGTATATGAAGTATTGAGTTTTTTTTTTTTATAGAAGTTTCCGCTCTATTTATTGTTTTAATTTGATAATGGATTTAGTCAAATTTTTTGTAAGAAAAACAATTCTTACGCAAAAAGATATTTGAGGTGGAAACTATTAGATAGCAGTTGAGTAACTTTTTAATGCTCTTTCAAATTAGAAATTTTTTTTACTAACTAGTCCTTATTGTTTTTGATGATAATTTCATAGATCCTCTTAAAATATTCTATTCAATTGAAAAATCTTAATTTTAGTTTTTTTTAAATATTTGTTTGTTGAATTTTTAAATATTAATAAAGTAATAAATATTTCTCGTATTAGAAGATTTTATGTTTATTCTTTTTTTGCAATATAATTAGATTGATGAAAGAATATTGAAAATCGTTAATTATCTTTCAAATATTTAGAAAATTATCATTATTAAAAGTTTAATTATTAATAATGCTCAATACTTAATTGATCTTTTATCTGAATCGATTTATTATATGAAAATTTAATTAAAAGCAATAAGAATATTCTATACGAATTGAAAAACTATACATAAATCTTAAGTCTATTCTAAAAATAACAGTATCATATTTGTAGAAATGTTTCTATCTTAATTTCCTTTTCATTAATGAAGATTTTCTATAATTTACTGATCTGTAAAAAAAATTTTTTATATTTAGTTAAAAATGAAACTATAAGTATACTTGTAGAAAATTGTTGTTCTAATTCTTGATAAATAATTTTGATGTTTGTTTTTCTTACATATTATGACTATTGTAACTTTAAAGAAACTCATTAGTACTGATGATATACTAATTTATTTTCTTTATGTTATGAATGGCAATAAAAAAAAAAAATTAATGACTAATTATTAAAACTTTATGAAATAATAAAATTCGAACTTATTTTAGAAAAATAGATTAACTTCAATTGTTGAAGAATTATTACTATAGTGAATATTAATTTCTATTTCCTATGTCAGTATTTAAATGTTTTTCTACTATTCATTTATTTAGTACATAATATATAAAATCAAACTAGAAATGACTTACTTATATATACAGTAAAATAAATTTAATGTTGAAGAAGATAATATTATAATGTACTTTGACAAAGTTAATATAATATTTCTTGCCAATAGTGTTCCTATGAAACAAAAAAAAATGTTCAATATGGAATGCTATCAGATATCCCCTCTTGGGTTCTTTCTTATAGTTCGATTTTATTTCGAACTAACAACTATCATTGACTCAAGCAAGAGAAGAGAGAGAGAATAAAGCATCAAGGAATCCGAGCTGAATAAACAAATATCGATAAGTCAAGGAGTATAACATACCTTCTCATAGACAGAAATGTGGGTTGACACACATTATATGATGTGAGCAGAAAAAAGAGAAACTTGAAAGAGTACAAACAAAAGGATCAGTGAAGAATGAAAAAAAACCAAAAAATTTTAATCGAGAAAAAGAAAAAAAAAACAAAGCAGAACAGTTTGATAAATGAAAACAATAAAAAAAAAGTTAATGGATGATATTTCCATTTACGGAAAGAAAACCATAATTGAATTATTTCATTATGAGAATAATATCGAAAGCTATGATTATATGAATAATCCCATTCTTTACTAACAATATTAAATATGATAGCTTTGCGTGGGGATCTAACTTGAAATTGTAGAATTGAAAGATCTCAATAAGCTTTACAAACAGGAAAACTGTATGAAGATGTTGTAATTTTATCAATCAAATTTGGATATAAAATATTGAATTTTCACCCTTGAATAGTTATTGGTGGTGAGTTACAGAGATGGACAAATTCGCACCGCGCCTCCCCGCGCTTCCCCGCGCCGTTGCTCACGCCTACGCTACACTAGTCTGAGCTTCGATGAGCGCATGCTTAGAGCATCCCGGTATTCGGTGGAGTTAGAGAAACTGATTGGTAGAGCAAAGAGAAAGAGAGATGTGCGTAGCGCCGAGGCGCGAGCAGTGGCGCGGAGAAGCGCGGGGAGGCGCGGTGCGATTTTGTCCATCTCTGGTGAGTTATGTTTATAATAATGTTGTTTATTATATTGATTCCAATTATAAACAGTATGATCTGTAATAAGAATTCGAAGTTGACGTGGTTTATATTGATCAGATCATAAACATTGAACATCCTGTAGTAAAACAGTATTAGTTAATGAATAATTCGTAATCAAACTATCCATAGTTCGAGTAAAAATCTTCAACATTAGTTTTGACAAAATCAGAATTAATAACAGATTCATCTGTTACATTTTCATCTTGTGGTTGAATGCTTAGATCAAGATCATTAATAATGACCTGGTTCATATTTACGTAGATGTTCACTTTCTAAATCTTCGAATGAATTGATTCGATTATCATTAACTTAATTAAATGAGCTATTGTCATTATCTAATATCTTGTTGAACATGAAATGAATATATATGCAATACATATTGTTCTTGTCTCAAGTTTTTGTGATTCTTCTTTAATTGTTTATTGATGGCGATCAATAAGACATGATGAGGACGATAGTGGAAAATCTTCAATAAATTCACATTTAAATGTGAATCAATCAGAAATATTGGGTTCAGTGTATACAGCATCATCATTAGTTAGAAAGTATTGTACAGCAATATATTTATGTGATGCTTGTAGTTGTACTCGATCAAAACCTTCTTCAATATATTTTAGCCATTTAACAACATTTTGATTACGAATACCATCAAATTTAATAAGTGATGTAATTAGATCTTTCATAATCGAGAAAAATCACTAGAATACAATCAACACGGAACAGAATAAATCGATCAGGAGAAAAAAACAAAACTTATCGTAGTTGTCGACATAGATCACGGCACCAAACATCAGAGTTTCTTCTCTTACTTCTTTCATTTTATTTCGAACTAACAACTATCACTGACTCAAGCGAGAGAATAAGAGCATCAAGAATAAACAAATATCGATGAATCAACAAATATAACAGATGCATTGAAAGTCTATCCTTGTGTTCAGCGGCATATCATTTTATGATAGTATAATTGCAACAAAAAAACAAAAACGAAAAGCTTGTTTTTCATTCTCATATTTCTTCTCAGATACGGTTAATTGTGTTTTAGCATTCGACAGAAATTTTTGTTTTTCTTGATTCGAACTTATATACTATTTATTTTTATCAAACATTTATAAGCAAAACGATAAAAGAAGAAAAAAATAGAAATTCTAAAAATAATTTCATATATTTAAAAACAACAAAATAACGTATCGATTTCTATATCTCTTATTAAAATGCATATTTCTATTTTTTTACCAGTTGATATTTTTGTATAACTTGCCACAATGTTGTTTATCCATTGTTTTATGAGACTGATTTAATTTTGTTGAGCACATTCTGCTTTTTCTTATGTTGTCAATTTGTTTGTGAATATTAGACGAAAAACAACAAAACATTATATACAGTTAGACAGAGAAAAATATTTCCTATGAGATGATAATACAATTATCATTCTTAGACGCTCTTCAAGAAGAGATATACGAATTGACTTTTTATACTATTATTTCCAAACATATGCAATGTACGTTAAAACGTGCTTTTTTTTCCGACAACAAAAAAAAAATGAATTGATGAAGCTTTTAATGGTTTCCGTTAGAATTACAGAAGATAAACTGTGAAAAAATGATTTAACCATTTATTGTCTGTTTGGGTATTATCATGAAATGCATATTTTTGTATTTTTTCTTATTGATTCCTTTCTGAGAATATGCTTACTTATAATCCGAAAACAAAAAAATATTAATAGACGAAAAATATTCAATTATTTCTTCTTGACATTTTCATAGTATTTGGTTAAATTAACTATTTATAGCTCTGATTTTAGACAATTATAAATATAGAAAGACACGATTTCCTTTCAATAGTTAAATTTTGCTTTCTTTATAAAAGAATAAAACGGAAGAAAAATAAATTTCTGCTTCAATTAAACTATCAAAACCATTAAGTTCTTATTCAATCAATAAATTCAACATCATTTTCTCTTGTACTGATCACATCTATTATACAGTCAAATCGAAGTCGAATAGTTTTATATCCGATAGGCTCTAGTCGGTCGTTTAAAAAATGTATAAGGTATATCAATCACCGAATACAAAAAAATTTCGTATCTATTCAATATTTTGATTAGAAAATTTTCTTTGAGTAATATTCAAATACATTTCAATCACATGCAAAAAGTTTCGGACTCAACTGAAAAATATTGTTCTTTTAGTAAAGAATTTCATTTCTCGAGAAAATTTTCTTCCATTATTGCAAATAAACATTTTCCTATTATAGCTCAATTTTAATAACTATATCTAGAGATTAAATAAATCTTTTATAATGGAAACAATTCTCATATATTATTCTTCAGATGTCACTCAAAGTCAATTTGACAAAAAAAAAAAAATGTCGCTTCTATATATTCAATAAAGAGGACATAACTTAGTTGAAAATTTATAATGAAATCAATATGGTTTCTAATTAAACAAAAGCAAATAAGTTAATCGATGATCTTCATGTATATTTATTTATAGATGCAAGCCATTACTCCTGTCGATATTCATATTGAAAATGAACGACAGGATGGATCAAATATTGAAAAATATACTAAAACATCGACTCGTAGAGGTCGACAAATACCACGAATGCATACACGTGTTACGAACAAAACGAAAACTAAGAAAATAAAAACGATATTATCACCATCATCTCATATTCCTAAACAAATTGTTATTCCTAAATTAGTTCTACCAAGGCATTCTCAAAGTTCATCATTGAATCGAGAACCATGGTAAAAAAAGAATTGATGAAATTTTATTTAAAAAAAAAGAAATTCTATCATTGTATAATTTAGGGTTCCAGCACCAGGTCGTTCAACAAAAGGACAAAAAGTTTCTTGGCTGGTTTGCAAATAATTTGTTTCTTTATATTATGTTTCTTTTTTTTGTTTTTATCTTAGAATACAAAATCACATTTAGAAATAAATCCTGTTACAGAATTTACAATTGATGATGAAGATAGTTGGAATATTGAACATGATAAATATGATGAAAATATAAAATTAATGACAGAAATTCAAAATTATGAAAGACGTATTCAAAAAGTTATTGAAGATATTGGAACACTTAAAGAATTTGTAAGTTAAACAAAATAAATAATTAACATTTATCTATAAAAAAAAAAAACATTTTTTTTATCTAGATACATAAACATACTAATTATAAACAAACTAATCAACTTCGTTCGAATATTGATTCATCTTTATTTGAATTAGAACGTTTTCAACAAAATTATGCTCAATATATTAAACCTAATTCAACATCAAAAATTTTACGTTCAAAATCTTTATCACCAATACGTAATTATAATACTAATAATAATAATAATAATAATCGTTCATCAAGTCTTGATGAATTCCAACGAAGACAAAATCTAACATCAAAAGTTTCATTTTATGATGATCCAATTATTGAAAGGTTTTATTATTTTGTTTTTGTTTTTGTAAATATATTTATGAATATAGACGAAAAGTACATAATACAACACCAATACGAGGTCCAATTCATCTTAATCCAGATCGAGAACAATTATTAATAACATTAGCAGATTCTGAAGTTGATATTGCACAAATTACAAAAAAATTATCTTCACTAACTGTTATTCTAAGAAAACTTAAATTCGTATGTATGAATGTCAATAAATTATGTTTACATAGAATTTATCTTTGATTTAAATAATATTTTGAAAAGAAAATCTTATAGAACTAATATCGGCGTTAGAAATAGATGAAGAAAACCAGTGGCGTACGCAGAAATTTTTCAAAAGGGGGGGCCGGCCATGGCACAAAAAATTTTTTCCTGTACCCCCCTCCAGGACTTTTTCGTCTCAAGGGGGAGCCCGGGCCCCCTCGGCCCCCCCTGCGTACGGCACTGAAGAAAACTCTAGAATGAATATCTCGAGAACAGTAGTAACTAGAGACTTGCGGCTTTCACTATTGGAAAGAGCGATGTTGGGGACATCAATCGATATAAAATTCATTAGGTTCGGAGAGTTCTTTTATTTATATAGATTCAGTTTTCTTCTGTCAACATTGAATCAATAAAAGTGAATCATAAATTCATTTCATATAATCATTAAAATATAGATGAAATTATATAAATACAAGTAAACATAGAATTTTTATGATTTGAATATTATGTTAGTTAAAATTATGCAATTGAATTTCAATATTTTATAAATTATATTCAATATATATATAAAAATATTTCATTACTTTCTTCAATATCTTATATCATAAACTTGACCTAGTAATGCTGTAAACGAAATGATAAGGAACTTTTTTTTTTTTTTTTCTTATGAATTTATATCTATAGGGCTTTTATTTTAAAGTTAGTTGAATAAAAAAAAAAAAAAAGTTTCTTTTGTACATAAATATAAGTATTTACATACCTTTAGGATGGTCAAACAGTAACGTATGAAATTGAACAATTGTATCAACAACGAAATGAACTATTGCATTTAATTGAACAATTTGAACGTTCAAATAGTAAACTTAAAAAATTTCTTCAACATCAATATCATTTAGAAGCTGAACATGGAATTATAAATGATCAATATGATAAATTAAAAACATATATTGATGAAAATCGACAAATAAAACGTTTATTAATTGATAGAGAAAATGATAATATTGCTTTACAAACAGAACTTGAACATATAAAAACACAATCTATTGGTTTTGATACAATGAAAACATCATTAGAACATAATCGTGCTCATCTTCAACGTCAATTATATACAAAAGAAGGAGAAATACATCGATTACAAAGTGCTTTACGAGTAAATTCAAAAATTATATTTTATATTTTTATTATCTTTGTAATAGAAATAAGTCTATTGTTAAGTTTCATATTAATTAAATATCGTCTGAACTTCGTTTTATATGACTAAGCTGATATTTTGGGTTTTTTCAAGCATCAATTCGCTCTCAATAGGTTCACAAAGTTCTCATGAGACAATAAATCTTTTCTGAAGTAGCGCTAGGATAAACGTTTACTATCTCAAGGTGTGATAATTACGAAAATCTTGACTATGCGCCATGAACTTTAGTGATAATAAAATAAACATATGGAACTATTGTTAGTACTAGAAAGTAGTAGCGAATCCAGGATTTTATAGTACACTAGATTTCATGTTTAGAAGATGGGGTCCAGATGAAACTTATAGAGGTATGATATTGGACTCAAATGATGAGTTTTTATCGAAAGATTTTTGCAATAGGAGTTTGCGAAAAAAAATTAGCATTTTCCTGAGCCCTCTCTCAAGAGTTTTCTTTTCCTATTTGTAGTTTTAGAATTTAATAGTAAGCTACATCAAAATTCTTCGATAGATTTCAAATTTTATTTAAAAATATCCATCCGTTCAGAAGTTATAACGTTTTGAATTTTTGTTACATACTGCTAAAATTTTAGCGAACATTCAAAAAGCTATAACTTCTGAACGGATGGATATTTTTAAATAAAATTTGAAATCTATCGATGAATTTTGATGTAGCTTACTATTAAATTCTAAAACTACAAATAAGAAAAGAAAACTCTTGAGAGGGCTCAGGAAAATGCTAATTTTTTTCGCAAACTCTTATTGCAAAAATCTTTCGATAAAAACTCATCATTTGAGTCCAATATCATACCTCTATAAGTTTCATCTGGATCCCATGCTCTAAAAATGAAATTCAGCATACTAAAATATCCTGGATTCGCCACTAAAAATGACATTTACGATTATTGTTCCATGCATGCATTCAATATTATAAAGAACAGTAGTATGACATGGGCTTATTTATGACTGAATATACATCAAGATGATTTAGTTCTTTTATAGAAGACAATTAAAACATGCATAAAGATACCTTTGTTTCAAGCAAAAAAAACTAGCATTAATCACGTAACACAAAAAAAGAATATAGATTTTTACTTTATCAATGTTTTTTTTTCTGGGTATGTCTACAATTTTCTTTATTTTTCGTTAATAAGATGTTTACATATATTTATGTTCGATGAATTTATTCAGAAAAATGAGTTTTGTAAAGAATTAAAGTCAAATAAAAAGCTGAGTATGTCCGATTTTGTCTTTTCGAAACAAATCATAAGGATTGATAAGAGAATAGAAGTTAATAAATGTAACATTTCTTTTTATATCATAATATTTTTTGTAATTTATTAAAATATTTCTTTATAGTCATTAGAACATGATCTTCAACGTAATCGTTGTCAATGTGGTAATTTTCGTCGATCTATTAAACGTAAATCAAAATGTTCTGTTTGTTGTTGTTCATCATCATCATCATCAGATCTTATAACTAAAACAAAAGCATTAACTATTGAAAAATTACAAACTGAATTAAATGATCGTGATGATGAAATAAATGAATTAAAAAGAAAATTATCTAATAATAATAATAATAATGAAGAAAAAGATGATACAAATTTAGAAATTATACGTTTAAAAACAAAACTTGAACAAACTGAACAATTATTAAATAAATATAGAGCAGAATTACAAACAGAAACATTTAAAGCATCAGCTAATCATAGTAAAAATCATTTATCTGAACTTGAATTAGAAAAAGTTCGTAATCGATTACAAAAACGTATTGAAGAACTTGAACCATTACCTGAATTATTAAAACAAGCTGAAATAGAAAGAGAAACACTTCAAAATAATATTGATGAACTTCGTAAACGTTTATCTTTACAATCAAATTTTCTAACTCCAATTCAATTAAATGATCGAAATAATTGTTATCGTTTTTCATCTGATGATGATATTCAAACTCTTCAAGGGTAATTTAAAAAAAATTTTTCTTTCTTTTTTTTTTACAATATTTCTATTGTTTAGAAAAATAATTTCATTGGAAGAAGAAAATAAAAAATTATTAAAAATGTTCAATACAAAAGAAGAAGAATTACGAAATGTACAAGTAAAATATCTATAAAAATTTTCATTTATTTAAATTAATAATCATTGTCATTTGAATTAAGTGTATTATCAATTAAGACATGATCGATAGAGACACTATCATAAGATCTGAACTATCTATGTCATCAAAAAATGAGAAATTCTCTTTTAATAGTAAAAGATTTACTTCTCTGAACTTCAATAGCTTCTCAAATTAAAGTATCACAATAAGTGTAGTAAACATATCACTCAGATTATATGACAACAAGGAACTGAAAAAAAAACGATAGAAATTAGTCTTTCATTCGTTGGTAACTATCGAATAATTTAAAAAAAAACTTCAATTTATCGAGCCTTTTCAAGTCGAACAATACGGTCCGTATACCAAGCGCACAAATACGGCCCTAACATAATGAGGTTATGGTTCGTATGAGAGATGTCCATCGCGGCGCTGCCGCCGTGGTGGTGGCGGCGCGGCAGCGGCAGATTTTTTCCAAAAACTATCGCGACGTGGCGACGGCAGCTTTTTAGGAAAAAATTTCAAAAATTCATGAATTTGCACAGAATCTGCATGTTTATGTATGCTATACTGTAAGATTTAGCGAATCTGATCGATTAGCGGCATCAGTTCTATTTCAAACCAGTCAAAGCCTTGAAAATCAAAAGATTTTTTCGAATACCAGCGCGGCAGCGGCGCGGTAGCTTTTTTTAACAGGTCATCGCATCGCGGGAGCGGCGCGGCAGCTTTGTTTGATTTTGGCCGCGGCGCGGCAGCGGCAGATTTTGAGCCGCGATGGACATCTCTGATTCGTATACTGAAAATACGGACCTGTGTACGATGCCCTGGGCTCCGATTCATCCTATAATTCCTATTTTTTTGAAAAATCCTATATTTTGATTGATTTTTTACGAGATTTGACTTTGCCCTGACGGGGATCTTCGCGGCACTACCCGCAACTCCCCCCCCCCCCCCCCGGTCATCACAGTAAAGCACATACATTTGAGGTACGGTTCAACGTACAATACCTAAATTTTGGTCAATTTTTTACTTTTTTTTTAAGTGAAAATAATCGTATAATTCAAGAAACGAAATCCTATATAGAAATTCCTATAATTTCGAAAATTTGTAATCGGAGGTCCGGGTGCCATCTTGAGCACAGTAATACGGATCATAACCTTATTATGATATCTGTGCCCCGATATTACGGTCGTATACGAATTGTATCGTTTGTAAAATTCTGTACTTGTAAGTAAGAGTTAATTTTCTATATGATTGTGTGATAACAAACATCGAACTTTAGAAAATTATGAATAAATTTTTACTAATGTTCACTTTTTTATTATTATTATTATTTAGCATCTTCTAAATGCTAAAACATATGAATCACCATCAATAAATAAACAAAATGATTGGAAAAAAACAGATTTTAAAATTCGTGATGATATATATGGTTCTAAAGTAATTGTAAAGATATTTTTATTCTATTAATAATTATTAATTTTTGAAAAAAAAAAAAAAAAAAGGAACGTTTTCTTCCAAAAGATACATTTGATCTTGAACAACAAATAGCTAGACTTCGTCTTGAATATACACAATTAAAACAAGAAAAAGATGAACTTGAACGACGTTTTACATCACAATTAACAGAATTACGTGATAAACTCGAACAATCAAATAATAATAATCGTTCAATGCAAAATTATATTAATTCAATTAAAACAGCATATACAACTCTTTTTAATGATACACTTCCAACATCTTTAACACGATATACAACAACATAACAAAAATAAACGAAAAGAATATAGAAATATTCTCAGGATATTTTCGACTATGCACATGCATATCTGTGTTTTTAATCAAATTATTGTTAGTATTTGAATAATAGAATGTAGAAATTTCTTTTGTTTTTGTTAATTATTCTCGTAGACTAGAAAATTTTATCAATTATGACAGTGTTTTTTCAAAACAATAACAAATATACATGTGTGTTCAAAGAATATATGATCGTTTTTTTTTTTGTTAAAATGTTCATAGAATACGTATATTGAATAAATATTGTAGTCTTTATTAAATGAACTTAGAATATTGAAAATGTTTGATTTACTGAAACTATTGGATAAATCGCATATATATATGTAAAAAATGAAATAATTAATTCTCATTTTAAGTTATATAAATAATCGATTATATATATTCATGACAACTTTTTACTGTTGATGAATAGTCATCACGAACAAATTTATTATAATTATAATTGATTTGCTAGTTATGTTATATTAATCACGAAGACTTAATATGAAAGAAATTATTTGTTACTTAATATTAACAAATGTTTATTTTGCTTGGTATTTATTTCTTTTCTTGTAATTAGAAATATAAACTGATTAACTAAGCCATCGCCATATAACAATAGATATTTAATTTTTAAAAATTTCCAACATCATAAATCAGTTTTTTTCCAGATATTATCGTCTGCCATGGGCAATTAATGCAACGACTTACATCTCGATTTACACTAACAGCACTGGTAATCGTTAAAAGTCAAATGATTAATTTATTCATTATTGCAATCGCTAGTTATCATTCTACCGAATGATTTAGGCATTGTTATATTTTTTTTAATGTGAAGTTTTATTTATATCTCATGATCAACTTATAAATTATGACTCAATATTATACATGATATTCATAACAAGTTTAGTAAAAATTCAAAATTCTTACGTTAACAACTATGCACTCTAATGTTACTTTCGCATAAGAATTGTAATAAAGATGATGATTCATCAATGAGTCTTCAATTACTGAGACTTTTAGAAGAACTGAATGAAAAAAAACTTTTGTAGTGCTTCATGTACATAGAAGTATACTTCTATAACAATTTTTTTTTTCTTTTTGAGATTTATTTTATTGTGAAATATATATTAACATATTAGAATAATATAAAAATTATTTACAAACAATTGCTGAAGATAGTTTTGTTTTTTTCAAAAAAAAAATCAATGTACTAATATAGTTCTTTAAATTATCAATTAATGTTTCTTGTTATGATTTGCCGGTGGAGGCCAATAATTTCCTGGTCGACCACCAATATATCCATCTCTGTTTAAATCAATATGTGTCATTCGTTCAAGTTTACCAACAAGACCTATTTAATAGAAAGTTATATTATATAGTATTAAATTAATTACTATATATATTTACCTCCACCCGGTGGTGGTCTATATCCACCAATAAGTCCATCACGATTTAAATCAATATGTGTAGCTTGTTCAAATTTAGCACTTATTCCAGGTCCTCCAATTCGACCATCACCATTTAAATCTACACCAAGTTTTTCTTCTATTTTTCTTACTATATGATCTATACAAAAATATTGCAATAAATCAATATGAAAAAAAAAACAAGCATATTCTATTTTGAACTTTAAAACTTACTCATTGTGATTATTTGCTATGCGCAGTAAATACCTTTTTTGTATTTATTGAAATTGTTTATGCAATAAGATACGTTTTTTTTTCTTTTTGTCGCGATTACTTATTTCTTCTTGTTCTTTTATATGCAAATATAACGAAGAAAAAGAAAATGAGTCAATCGGTTCTTTTGCGAACAACTATCGACGTCATTATATATATGTGTGGGAGCTCACCGATGAATCATCTACAAAGAATCACGAGTCGATGATGTTTCCTTCTCGATACTTCTAAGTAAAACAAATTTTTTTTCTTTGCGACACTTTACATTAAAATACAAGGGCAATATACAAAGCAGTACATTTTGATATTTGTTGAAGAACACGATTCTGAATTTTTTTTTTTTTTTTTGCAGTTTCTTAGTTAAATATATCATTGAAAAAAGCTTTTCTTTTTGTATATGCATTGAAAGCAATATGTTTTATGTAGAAAATATTTGAATTTTGTCTTAGAATTATAACAAAAAAAAAAAATATTCACACAAACAGATAATATTGATCTATTCCTTAATAGAATGGTGTGAAAATTTTCACTCACAAAAACATCTTCCTCCCAAAATATTAAATAAGGAAAAATCTGGTACTTTCGTTGAATATGAATAACTTTCACTATGGAAAAATTCTCAGAACGAACTACCGTCATCCGATTTGTTGGTATGTATCATGTCTGAGACTAAAATTATAGTTAAATACCTATAACTACCGACGAAAAGTCTAAGAGGACTAATCTTTTTGAAATTTCTTCACATTGCATTGAATTCTACCTTATGCATAATGTCCAAATTCGAAAACTATATCATACACGTATTATTTATATACAAATCATTGAGAATATAATTATGTTAAACAATCTTATCATATGCTTTTCAGCAGAAACACAATGAACAATAAAAAACAAAAAACTTGACATCCATCGGATGAATAAAATAAACATGAAAGTATAGGATTCGAAATGTAATTCATATAAACAGATGGACAATGAGAATGAATAAGATTTCTTTTTTTATTGGTTTTTCTTGAATTTCTCATATGAACAAATAAATACTATGCTATCAATTTTATTTGGTGAAGAACGTATTTGTTTTTTTCAAATTTCTTTATATCGAAAAATTTAAAGATATTTATTTCATATGCAAAAAAAAAGGAAATACATTAAGTATCTATCTTCGTGCTTGTTACAGAGATGCTCGATTGATGTTAAGTTGAAAATTTGTCTTTCTTCTTTAAGATGATATCTTCTATCGTCATTCGTTTAGTTCAGTCTTTTAATTATGAAATCTACCCTATTCTTTGTTTTAGATACTTAATTGACTAACGAAAATGGATATGTGGTGAAACCACTTCAGAGAAAAAACTCAGTTCAAAACATCAATTCATATGTATGAATGTTCTTTTTTTTTGTTTCTTTTTCGATTATATTCTCAATTGTTTTGAGACATTGTATGCCATATTGATATTTTTGTTTCTATTGGGTGTTTTTATTCATGTAGAATAATATAAACACTCATTTTTTTTTTTCAATAAAAATATTCATTACCATAAACTAGCAATAGAAACTTTGTACTATAAGAGTCGAAATCAAGATTATATGAAGATAACTACTTCTATTATCGATATTAGTGAACAACAATACTCTATGATTCAACTGGGATTTATCATAAAGATTGTCAGAATCATCAAAAAAAATCGGCGATTTATGGCCAAGTTTTTCACGATTTCGAAGTCACATGATACACCGGTTTTCTAACGCTACAAAAAATTTTACTCTAATTAGCCATAATCCATTGCAAATTGTTTTCCTTCATGTTTGTTTATCATTAGCTATGTCTACCGTATTGCATCTGTCATCATAGATTGGGCTAGAGAGTTCCAAAAAACTTTCGTTTTTGCTTCAAGTCTTTTCTTGTTTTTTTTTCAATAACATGTTAGCCTAAGTTCAAGACAATTTTTATAATCAGTACGT